CATATATTAAACATCAATTTTCGATTTATTCCTATTATTTATCTAATATTAAAAAATATTGATGTTTTTTTTGTTTTATCTTCAATTTAAGATGTCAATTAATTACAGCAGCTGGTACAATGATTAAAAATGACTTCCCATCTAAATGGTCACAATTTATAAATCAAATTCATACATGTCTTTCTACTGATAATATTGCTGCATGTGAAAGTGCTCTTCTTATTTTTTATACACTTGTACAACATTATGAGTATGTATTATTTAATTTTTTAAAATAAAAATCAATAAATAAACATTTAAATATTAAATTTTAAGGTACAAAAAAATGGAAGATCGAGGTCCAATGGATGATGTTATGTTTGTTATTTTGCCTCTTCTTCATCAACGTTTTATGCAATTATTTGCTCATAATGATTCAGATCAATCAGCACTTATACAAAAACAAATTCTTAAAATATTTCATGCTTATACTCAAGTATGTCTCTTTAGATCAACAAAAAATAAATTCTTATAGAATTTCATTTCATTATGAAAAAGAAGAACTTTAATAGAGTAGAAATAGTTCAATTCGAATGAATCTAAAAATTTTTCCATTGAGACGAAAATTCAGTACAACACAACTTGAAAGATTTAATCGAACGAACTTTTATAATCTTTTTCTAATCCTTGTAAGCCAAATAAACTCTCAAATGACAGACTACAGCTAAAGTACTTTCCTCATTAGAATAAAGATTCATACAAAATATCAGTGACCAACCACATCGATCAATTGTCGATATGTAGAAGGATAAATGTTTTGAATGTGAAATTTCGGTAATCAACAAATGTTCAAATATCTCAAGAGACAAAATTTAATGATAATATTCTCTTTCCGGAATACTAAAATTAGCTTTTGTTGATATTCAGACTAACACTTGATGATGATGATTAAGGAAATTTCAAATTAAAAATCTATATTTATTTATTTTAGCTTCATTTAAGTTTTCGAGTATTACCTACACAAACAATGGCAACATGGCTTGATACATGTTGTGCAGTTATTGAAAGACGTTTACCTGAACGTTTAGATGCACTCGATGAAGATGATCGAGCTGAACATCCATGGTGGAAATGTAAAAAATGGGCATTACATATTCTTATTCGAACATTTGAAAGGTTGCTAAAAAGAAAACAATTTTATATTTTATTTCTTATTATTATTGTTCTTTAGACATGGTGCACCAGCAAATTTACCTAAAGGTCAACCACAAGATAGAGTTGAATTTGCAAATTTTTATTTAAAAGGTTTTTCCGGTATGAATTGTGTTGTTATTTTTTTTATTTTTTTCTATAAAAATAAAATTACATTTTTAGGAAAAGTAATTAGTCTTGTTTTTGGTATTCTTGAAGCTTATCGACAAAAAATTTATCTATCACCACGTGTTACACAATTATCACTTAATTATTTACGTGAAAGGTAATTTTATAAATAAAATATTTTTCATTTAAGATAAAAATTCATTGGTTTTCTTTTGTTTTGAAGTGTTCGTCATGCATTTTCATGGAAAATTATGCAAAATAATATTATTGTACTTATACAAGATGTTATTTATCCATTATTATGTATTAATGATGATGATATTGAATTATTTAATGAAGAACCAATAGAATTTGTTCGTGCACGTCTTGGTAATATAATAATTTGCTTTTTGAATCTATTGACAACAAAGTATAAACTACTCTCAAATAGAATCTATGAGAAAACTTAGCGAATATGTGGGATATGATTATTTTCGTTTATACTTCTGGTATATTACGACTTCCATCAAACTTTATCCGATTCGGTTGGAAATTTTTTTTTTTTTGAGATATCTCAGAGGTATTTTTGAGCGTTTGCGAACAGTGGAATGTTTACTTTCAGAATCCTATAAATCTGAATAGGAAAATCAAAAATGAAAACAGTCGATTTTTACCTCTGACGGATGCTTCCAAGTATCTGTGGTGAAAATTTCAGCCCGATCGGACAAAGTTAGAAGGAGGTTGTATGCAACCAGGATTAAAAAACTGATGTTTTATGTTACCAAGAATTCTGTGACAGTAAATTAGATCGAACTCTTTCTTAAAACCAGTTTTTCAATGATCTTCTCATGTCGTACAACGAAAACTGTTTATTTTACTATTTTGAGATCATGGTTTACAAAAGAGTAAAGTCAGTGATTACTATCAAAAGTATATATATACGATTAAAAATATCTTATCTCATTGAGAATTATTGTTCATTGCCGAGAAGAGATCAAATAGGTGTATATTCGAGTTTTTCGTTTCGATAAGAATAGCAATATAGAATTTGAAAAAAAGATTTAAACAACTGAGAAGATTTCCTATTAGGATTAGTAAGTCCGAAAACGGCGTAGAATAGCCATGAGGATATTACAGGCATTTCATTTTAAGGATCTTGACTACGAGAAAAAAGTTGTTCCAATCAAAACTAAGTATTACAATTAAATAGTCTATAATTTCAAACGAATTATCTTATAATTCATAACAATCAGAGTATAGTTCAAAAGAGATGACTTAAAAAAGTCTT